TCTTGAGGAACCTTGTTCTCAGCGTGATAAACCCTGTCCTCAGTGTGAGGTACCTTGTCCTCAGCGTGAGGAACCTTGTCATCAGCGTGAGGAACCTTGTCCTCAGCGTGAGGAACCTTGTCCTCAGCGTGAGGAACCTTGTCCTCAGCCTTAGAAACCTTGTCCTCAGCGTGACGACCTTGTCCACAGCGTGAGTAACTTTGTCGTCAGCGTGAGGAACCTTGTCCTCAGCGTGAGGAACCTTATCCTCCGCGTGAGAAAACTTGTCCGCAGTGTGAGGTACCTTGTCCTCAGCGTGAGGAACCTTGTCCTCACCGTGAGGAATCTTGTCCTCACCATGAGGTACCTTGTGCTCAGCGTGAGGAACCTTGTTCTCAGCGTGAGGAACCTTGTCCTCAGTTTGAGGAACCTTGTCCTCAGTGTGAAGTACTTTGTCCTCAGCTTGAGGAACCTTGTCCTCAGCGTGAGGAACCTTGTCCTCTGTGTGGGGTACCTTGTCCTTAGTGTGAGGTACCTTGTCCTCAGCCTGAGGAATGTTGTGCTCAGCGTTAGGAACCTTGTTTTCAGCGTGAGGAACCTTGTCCTCACTGTGAGGTTCCTTGTCCTCAGTGTGAGGTACCTTGTCTTCAGCTTGAGGAACCTTGTCGTCAGCATGAGGAACCTTGCCCTCACTGTGAGGTACCTTATCCTCAGTGTGAGGTACCTTGTCCTCAGTGTGAGGAACTTTGCGCTCAGCGTGAGGAACCTTGTCCTCAGCGTGAGGAACCTTGTCCCCAACGTGAGGAACCTTGTCCTCAGTGTGAGGTACCTTGTCGTCAGGGTGAGGTACCATGACTTCAGCTTGAGGAACCTTGTCCTCAGTGTGAGGTACATTGTCCTCAGCGTGAGGACCCTTGTCCTCAGCGTGAGGATCCTTCTCCTCAGCGTGAGGAACCTTGTCCTGAGCATGAGGTACCTTCTACTCAGCGTGAGGAACCTTGTCCTCAGCGTGAGGAACCTTGTCCTCAGTGTGACGAACCTGGTCCTCACTGTGAGGTACCTGGTCCTCAGTGTGAGGTACCTTGTTCTCAGCGTGAGGACACTTGTCCTCAGCGTGAGGAACCTTGTCCTCAGCGTGAGGAACCTTGTCCTCAGCGTGTGGAACCTTGTTCTCAGCGTGAAGAACCTTGTCCTCAGTGTGAGGTACCTTGTCCTCAGCGTGAAGATCCTTGTACTCAGCGTGAGGAACCTTGTCCTCAGCATGAGGAACCTTGCCCTCACTGTGAGGTACCTTGTCCTCAGTGTGAGGTACCTTGTCCTCAGTGTGAGGAACGTTGTGCTCAGCGTGAGAAACCTTGTCTTCAGCGTGAAGAACCTTGTCCTCCGCGTGAGGAATCTTGTCCTCAGCGTGAGGAACCTTGTCCCCAACGTGAGGAACATTGTCCTCAGTGTGAGGTACCTTGTCGTCAGGGTCAGGTACCGTGTCCTAAGCTTGACGAACATTGTCCCCAGTGTGAGGTATATTGTCCTCAGCGTGAGGACCATTGTCCTCAGCGTGAGGAACCTTGTCCTCAGCGTGAGGAACCTTGTCCTCAGCGTGAGGAACCTTGTCCTCAGCATGAGGTACCTTCTACTCAGCGTGAGGATCCTTGTCCTCAGCGTGAGGAACCATGTCCTCATTGTGACGAACCTGGTCCTCACTGTGAGGTACCTGGTCCTCAGCGTGAGGAATCTTGCCCTCAGCGTGAAGAACCTTGTCCTCAGCATGAGGTACCCTGTACTCAGCGTGGGGAAAATTGTCCTCAGCGTGAGGAACCTTGTCCTCAGTGCGAGGGACCTGGTCCTCAGTGTGAGGTCTCTTGTCCTCAGCGTGAGGAACCTTGTCCTCACCGTGAGGAACCTTGTCCTCAGCATGAGGAGCCTTGCCCTCACTGTGAGGTACCTTGTCCTCAGTGTGAGGTACCTTGTCCTCAGTGTGAAGAACGTTGTGCTCAGCGTGAGGAACCTTGTCTTCAGCGTGAGGAACCTTGTCCTCAGCGTGAGGAATCTTGTCCTCAGCGTGAGGATCCTTGTCCCCAACGTGAGGAACCTTGTCCTCAGTGTGAGGTACCTTGTCGTCAGGGTGAGGTACCGTGTCCGCAGCTTGAGGAACCTTGTTGTCAGCGTGAAAAACCTTGTCCTCAGCGTGAGGAACCTTGTCCTCAGTGTGAGGTACCTTGTCCTCAGTGTGAGCTACCTTGTCCTCAGCTTGAGGAACCTTGTCTTCAGTGTGAAGTACCTTGTCCTCAGCGTGAGGAACCTTCTCCTCATCGTGAGGAACCTTGTCCTCAGCGTGAAGAACCTTGTCCTCAGTGTGAGGCCCCTTGCCCTCAGTGTGAGGTAGCTTGTCTTCAGCTTGAGGAACCTTGTCCTCAGCATGACGAACCTTGTCCTCAGTGTGAGGTACCTTCTCCTCAGTGTGAGGTACCTTGTCCTCAGCGTGAGGAACGTTGTGCTCAGCGTGACGGACCTTGACCTCAGCGTGAGGTACCTTGTCCTCAGTGTGAGGAACCTTGTCCTCAGCGTGAGGAACCTTGTCCTCAGCGTGAGGAACCTTGTCCTCAGCGTGAGGATCCTTGTCGTTAGCGTAAGGGACCTTGTCTTCAGCGTGAGGAACCTTGTCCTCAGGGTGAGGAACCTTGTCCTCACCGTGAGCAACCTTGTCCTCAGCGTGAGGAACCTTGTCCTCAGCGTGAGGATAATTGTCCTCAGCGTGAGGAACCTTGTTCTCAGCGTGAGGATAATTGGCGTGAGCGTGAGGAACCTTGTCTTCAGCGTGAGGAACCTTGTCCTCAGCGTGAGGAACCTTATCCTCAGCGTGAGGAACCTTATTCTCAGCGTGAGAAACCTTGTCCTCAGCGTGAGGAACCTTGTCCTCAGCATGAGGAACCTTGTCCTCAGCGTGAGCAACCTTCTCCTCAGCGTGAGGAACCTTGTCCTCAGCGTGAGGATCCTTGTCCTCAGCGTGAGGAATCTTGTCCTCAGCGTGAGGAACCTTGTCCTCAGCGTGCGTAACCTTGTACTCAGCGTGAGGAACCTTGTCCTCAGCATGAGGAACCTTGTCCTCGGCGTGAGGAACCTTGTCCTCAGCATGAGGAACCTTGTGCTCAGCGTGATGAACCTTGCCCTCAGCGTGAGGATCCTCGTCCTAAGCGTCAAGGACCTTGTCCTCAGCGTGACCAACCTTGTTTTCAGCGTGAGGAACCTTGTCCCCAGTGTGAGGTACTTTGTCCTCAGCTTGAGCAACCTTGTCCTAAGCGTGAGGAACCTTGTCCTCAGTGTGGGGCACTTTTTCCTCAGTGTGAGGTACCTTGTCCTCAGCGGGAGGAACCTTGTCCTCAGAGTGAGCAATCTTCTTCTCAGCGTGAGGAACCTTGTCCTCAGCGTGAGGAACCTTGTCCTCAGTGTGAGGTACCTTGTCCTCAGTGTGAGGAACCTTGTCCTCAGATTGAGGAACCTTGTCCTCAGCGTGAGGATCGTTGTCGTTAGCGTGAGCGACCTTGTCTTCAGCGTAAGGAACCTTGTCCTCAGGGTGAGGAACCTTGTCCTCACCGTGAGCAACCTTGTCCGCGGCGCGAGGATGCTTGCTCTCAGCGTGAGGAACCTTGTCCTCAGCGTGAGGATCCTTGTCCTCAGCCTGAGGAACCTTGTCCTCAGCGTGGGGAACCTTATCCTCAGCGTGAGGAAACTTATTCTCAGCGTGAGGAACCTTGTCGTCAGCGTGAGGAACCTTGTCCTCAGCGTGAGGAACCTTGTCCTCAGCGTGAGGAACCTTGTCCTCAGCGTGAGGAATCTTGTCCTCAGCGTGCGGAACCTTGTCCTCAGCGTGCGGAACCTTGTACTCAGCGTGAGGAACCTTGTCCTCAGCGTGAGGAACCTTGTCCTCGGCGTGAGAACCTTGTCCTCAACGTGAGGAACCTGGTCCTCAGCGTGATGAACCTTGTCCTCAGCGTGAAGATACTTGTCCTAAGCGTCAGGAACCTTGTCCTCACTGTTAACAACCTTGTCCTCAACGTGAGGAACCTTGTCCTCAACGTGATAAGACCTTGTCCTCAGGGTGAGGAACCTTGTCCTCAGCGTGAGGAATCTTGTCCTCAGCGTGAATAACCTTGGCCTCAGCGTGAGGAACCTTGTCTTCGGCCTGAGGTACCTTGTTCCCAGCGTGAGGAACCTTGTCCTCAGCGTGAGGAACCTTGTCGTCAGCATGAGGAACCTTGTCCTCCGCGTGAGGAGCATTGTCCTCCGCGTGAGGAACCTTGTCCTCAGCTTAAGGAACTTTTCCCTCTGCCTGAGGGACCTTTTCCTCCGCGTGAGGAACCTTGTCCTCAGCGTGAGGAACTTTTCCCTCCGCGTGAGGAATTTTTTCCTCCGCGTGAGGAGCCTTGTCCTCAGCGTGAGGAACCTTGTGCTTAGGGTGAGGAACCTTGGTGCTCAGCGTCTGGAACCTTGTGCTCAGCGTGAGGAACATGGGGCTGAATCAGGTAGGAATTTCTCTGTGGCCTCGACAGTATCACTCTTATTTTTAAGAAAACACACAAACACAGAACCTGAATAATCATCAGTGAAAGCTATGGTATATCTATATCCTTCCTTTGACATAGGATCAACTGGACGTGCAAGATTAGTGTGGACAAGCTCTAAAGGGGCTTTAGATCGAACATCGGGATTTCTATTCCTACTTTGAGTCATTTTCCCTAAAACACAAGTATCACAATCTGGTTTACTACTGCTATCACTTACCTTCATGCCATCAACTACATCTTGGAGCTTCACTACATCTTCATAATTGCAATGACCATTTATTTCATGCCAGCCCTTTAAATCACTATTATAATTTACTGAGTCAGTGTTTTCTACATCACTACATGGTCCTACATGTAAATAGTATAGTTTACCATGCTTCTCGATATTAATCTTCGTACCATCTTTGCTGATTAGCTTTGCAGACTGTGGATGGAAAATAACACTAGCACCTTTCTCAGTGGCAGCTTGTACTGAAAATATGTCCTGAGGATACGATGGTATCTACAGAGCATTCTTTAATGAGGCATTGACACATCTTCTTGTAGAATCCGTGATAGGCAAGTTCACATTTCGTCTCTTGAGTTCAACATTATTTGATCGAGTCCCATCAGCTACAATCCTGGCCAAAACTCATGTGGACACTTAATCCACTTTTGCAAAAATCATGACAAACACCTAAAACTTGAATTTACTTGCATATCCCCCACTCCCCCTCTTCAATGTTGCTTATCCGACTTAACCACACTTCGTATTTGATGAAAAATCCCATTCAACATTGGCATGGGGGGAGCGGGGGGATAATTATTTAGGGAAAACGCCTTTCGAGGCCAAATTCTGTGGGTTGTCCACAACCTTTTGTCCAGGATTGTCTGAAAAATGATGAGCATGGAGAAGCGCTGTTTTATCACTTGTTCGTTAACATTCGATATGTCTGATGAGACTATAACGCTTACCTATGTTTTCTAAGTTTTTGCTATACAGTTTGATAGCTGATGACGTCACAATTAGTCATTACGTCACTTCCGGATGTTGTAAATATAAGCTAATTTGTGGGAAGCGTGCGTAAAACCAACTATACTGAATAGGTGCTAGCATAACTTTTTCTCAATCTTATACATGGAAGGTACACCGACTTTACTGTTCAGATACATAGCCCAGGAGCGCATTTAGGCTTCAGTAGGAGAGAAATTGACGGTGCAGAAAATTTTCAGTGTCATATCTGTACGGAGTTTCAGTATGATTCCAGAACGTCTCAAGCTATGTAGCAATTACCTTATTCCATTGAATAAATTATTGTACTTTTGCATATTTTTAGTGATTTTAACGACTCCTGTAGTTTTGAAGAAAAGCCTATATTTTTATACACAGCCCTAATATATTACGCGCCAATGACAAGATCTAGAACCTTGCAATATCAAAATAAAAAAGCATCAGTACTCAAAATGAAATATATCATGTTAACCTTTTTCGCCATTTGAAAGGCAATATAATTTGACATTGAAGATTCGTAGCATTTCCAAAGATAAGTGTCTATCATAAACTGGTACGCGAACTCGATACAGCTACGGCCAGTAAATACAAACAATTCTCTTATATATACTTGTAAATATTATATTACAATTGAAGTTTGTCAAAGAATGCAATATTGCCGTACACTTTCGAATACTGTGCGCCAACTATATCACGGTCTACAGTAACTTCGAACTTGAATTATACACAATTACTGCATTGAAATGTAACGATTTTTTGTTAGGAGACTACCTACATATTATACTTGTTATTAAAATGTTTTCATAATTTACACAGTAGAGCAATAAAAAGTTACCACGGTCTACATATTAAAAGTAGCTCTTTGAATATAATAGATCATAGCTCATTAGTATTCATGAAAATACGATTTTGGTGTGTAGACCGTGGCGATTTTTAAGGCATAGCTGATTTTATATGTCTTGCTGCATACTGGTGCAAAACGTAATTGGACAAGCCTTTTAATCTATATTTTTAATCGTTTGCGCGCTTATATACTTCTAAAATCACTGCAAAAAAGTGTAGACCGTGTTTCGAGCTTTGAATATTATGTTACACATTACGTCACTCGATCGGAAAGTATAACATATCAACTTAACAATTATAGCAAAGCCCTGTAACTTAATATAATTCAGATGTTTAGTTCTTGCCTTAATTAAATCATGTATATATATAGGTTTCTGTCAAACATTGTATTCAGCAAGTTTTAGATGCACCTTGAAATTGCACTGTCAGAACGAAGCTGTAATATATAGTTAAAACATACAAACGTACTGGCATATATCGTAAGCGGCAGTTAACGAATTATAATACTTGTATGAAAAATGTCATTTAGTTGTATAAATTAGATTCTCAAGCACTTCAAGAATGCATAAACAAACTTGAGACTACAATCCTGGCCAAAACTCATGTGGACACTTAATCCACTTTTGCAAAAATCATAACAAACACCTAAAACTTGAATTTACTTGCATATCCCCCACTCCCCCTCTTCAATGTTGCTTATCCGACTTAACCACACTTCGTATTTGATGAAAAATCCCATTCAACATTGCCATGGGGGAGCGGGGGGATAATTATTTAGGGAAAACGCCTTTCGAGGCCAAATTCTGTGGGTTGTCCACAACCTTTTGTCCAGGATTGTCTGAAAAATGATGAGCATGGAGAAGCGCTGTTTTATCACTTGTTCGTTAACATTCGATATGTCTGATGAGACTATAACACTTACCTATGTTTTCTAAGTTTTTGCTATACAGTTTGATAGGTGATGACGTCACAATTAGTAATTACGTCACTTCCGGATGTTGTAAATATAAGCTAATTTGTGGGAAGCGTGCGTAAAACCAACTATACTGAATAGGTGCTAGCATAACTTTTTCTCAATCTTATACATGGAAGGTACACCGACTTTACTGTTCAGATACATAGCCAAGGAGCGCATTTAGGCTTTAGTAGGTGAGAAATTGACGGTGCAGAAAATTTTCAGTGTCATATCTGTACGGAGTTTCAGTATGATTCCTGAACGTCTCAAGCTATGTAGCAATTACCTTATTCCATGGAATAAATTATTGTACTTTTGCATATTTTTAGTGATTTTAACGACTCCTGTAGTTTTGAACAGCCTATATTTTTATACACAGCCCTAATATATTACGCGCCAATGACAAGATCTGGAACCTTGTAATATCAAAATAAAAAAGCATCAGTACTCAAAATGAAATATATCATGTTAACCTTTTTCGCCATTTGAAAGGCAATATAATTTGACATTGATGATTCGTAGCATTTCCAAAGATAAATGTCTATCATAAACTGGTACGCGAACTCGATACAGCTACGGCCATTAAATACATACAATTCACTTATATATACTTGTAAATATTATATTACAATTGAAGTTTGTCAAACAATGCAATATTGCCGTACACTTTCGAATACTGTGCGCCAACTATAGCACGGTCTACAGTAACTTCGAACTTGAATTATACACAATTACTGCATTGAAATGTAACGATTTTTTGTTAGGAGACTACCTACATATTATACTTGTCATTAAAATGTTTTCATAATTTACACAGTAGAGCAATAAAAAGTTACCACGGTCTACATATTAAAAGTAGCTCTTTGAATATAATAGATCATAGCTCATTAGTATTCATGAAAATACGATTTTTGTGTGTAGACCGTGGCGATTTTTAAGGCATAGCTGATTTTATATGTCTTACTGCATACTGGTGCAAAACGTAATTGGACAAGCCTTTTAATCTATATTTTTAATCGTTTGCGCGCTTATATACTTCTAAAATCACTGCAAAAAAGTGTAGACCGTGTTTCGAGCTTTGAATATTATGTTACACATTACGTCACTCGATCGGAAAGTATAACATATCAACTTAACAATTATAGCAAAGCCCTGTAACTTAATATATAATTCGGATGTTTAGTTCCTGCCTTAAATCATGTATAGTTTTCTGTCAAGCATTGTATTTAGCAAGTTTTAGATGCACCTTGAAATTGCACTGTCAGAAGGAAGCTGTAACATATAGTTATAGTTAAAACATACAAACGTACTGGCATATATCGTACGTAAGCGCCAACACTTGCAGTTAACGAATTATAATACTTGTATGAAAAATGTCATTTAGTTGTATAAATTAGATTCTCAAGCACTTCAAGAATGCATAAACAAACTTGAGACTAGTACAATATATATTCTGTCATTCTCGTCACATAATTATTGCTAAAAATTAGGCTCGTGGGCGCGTTTTTTGGCTGGAAAATCTGTGTCTTTACCGGACAATTTTTTTTTCAAAAGATGGTCAGGAATAGATTATTGAGATGCAAACAAGCGCAATTTTACTGACAAAGCATAGTTTTTGCCTTTTTGTGTCATATTAGATACAAGAACCGTCTATTATTTTCTATGGTGATTTTCAGACAATCCTGGCCAAAACTCATGTGGACACTTAATCCACTTTTGCAAAAATCATAACAAACACCTAAAACTTGAATTTACTTGCATATCCCCCACTCCCCCTCTTCAATGTTGCTTATCCGACTTAACCACACTTCGTATTTGATGAAAAATCCCATTCAACATTGCCATGGGGGAGCGGGGGGATAATTATTTAGGGAAAACGCCTTTCGAGGCCAAATTCTGTGGGTTGTCCACAACCTTTTGTCCAGGATTGTCTGAAAAATGATGAGCATGGAGAAGCGCTGTTTTATCACTTGTTCGTTAACATTCGATATGTCTGATGAGACTATAACACTTACCTATGTTTTCTAAGTTTTTGCTATACAGTTTGATGGCT